TATATATATATATATATATATCAGGAGTAGATAAAGGGAATTACCTTTTATTACCTTTAAATTTTATTATTTAATTCCCTTTATCTACTCCTGATATATATATATATTGGCGGTATGATACGGCTTGATGCGTGTCTGTGTGGAAGCGCTCCCGATGTCATAAACAACAACATAAATAACTCGTGTAGCCATCTATCTATTATTACATTACATATGATATCTATTCTATTATATAAATCTATTATATATCATACTATATAGTATAGTCGTGTGTCCCTATATTATTATGTTATATATTATATACCATATAATATATCATACTCGTGTGTCCATCTATCATTATATTATATAAATCTATTACATATCATAACATACATAATACTCGTGTATGCCGTCTATCTACAGCCGACTGCTGCAACCTGCCACCGGTCATCAATGGTGGCTACGCCTACGTCATCGAATGTACACACGTCGGCTGCATGGCCTACTACCACTGCAACGTGGGCTACGCACTAGAGGGCGCTACCTCGACGCTGAACATCACGTGCGTCGCCAGCGGCGAGGTGGGCATCGGACAGTGGGAGACGCCACCTACCTGCAAACGTGCGTACTAAACACGCCAGGGGGCGCTGATCTCGCTGCGCGATGACGAGTCGTAGAATGGATTCGTCTGCTTTTATTTATTTTTTTCTTTTTTCTTTTTTCTTATTATTTATTTTATCTTCATCATCAGACACTCATTTAGCGAAAGCCGTACTGTGTGCGTGTAGCTCTACCGGTGTAGCCCTCCTTCACTTCCCCTTCCCTATAGCGGGAGGGAAGGGGTTACACTGATACAGCTATTCTGTGCGTGAAACTAACCCTAATTCGTTGCGTTCCCTAACCCTAACTATATGCACACACACACACACACGCACGCACATACACACACGCGCACATACACACACACATATACATATATATATATATATATTTATCTAGGCTGTAACTACCTTTTCATTATTAAAACTCTTGCTGCTGGCGACACCGTATTGCCGACAACCCCCCCCTCCCACCTCCCACCCCACCTCCGACCCCACCTCCGACCCTCTAGCTAACCGTGCTCCCTCTGGTGGCCACGCGTTTGCAGGCGTCAGCTGCCCAGTGCCTCCCGCTCCGGAGAACGGCGGCTACGTCGGCGAATCGTTCGACTACGGCGACGTCATCTGGTTCTACTGCGACTCGGGCTATCACCTGATGGGCGTCGCTGCGTCCTACTGCATGGAAGATGGATCGTGGGAGAACACCGACCCGTGGGGTTACTGCGTTCGTGAGTGTCCGCGTCTCGGTGCTTCTTGTTACCCCNAAATAATTCTTGCCTTCACGTGTCGAACTCAGAATCACTCCTGGTTCTGTTTGAGTTGGTGGTTTACAGGTGACGTACACGTGTACGTAGCGCAGCCTATGCCGCGGACCCCGAATATATCTATTATTATCATTATTATTATTAATATTATTATTATTATTATTATTATTATTATTATTATTATCAGGTGACGTACACGTGTAACCCATTCTATGAGGCGGACCCTGACTGTCCAGCCTTCACCCGCTGCATGTGTGACGGAACATGGACGGACAAGCCTTGCTGCACAGGTGACCCCCTCAGCCTCTCTAATAACCGGATGCTTTTGTGTTTTCTACTACATAGCGTATTGCGTGATGCTCTTATGTTTCCCACCTTTTTTTATAAATTTCACCACCTTTTTAATAACGTGATGCTCTTGTGTTTTCTACAACCTCGTTAATAACCTGATGCTCTTGTGTTTCCCACTACCTTTCTCATCACGTGATGTTCTTGTGTTACCAGTTAACTGTCTAATAACGAGATGCTCTTGTGTTTCCCACCATCTCTTTAATAACGAGATGCTCTTGTGTTTCCCACCATCTCTTTAATAACGTGATGCTCTTGCGTTCCCCACCGCCTCTCAAATAACGTGATGCTCTTGTGTTTTCTCACGTGCTCGACCCGCGCTTTAAAAAAAACATCTCCACACATGCGTAGAACTTCGAGATGATCTCGCTGCCAGGTGTCGCCATCGTCGCGGCTCGCTCCGCTCACGCGGCGCCCTCTATATCTCGTTACAGCTGCGAACATCTGCGACACGGATGATAACGTCTGCGAGCAGATATGTATCCCCTACGCGGGCGGGTTCCACTGCGACTGCGAGCAAGGCTGGGAGGTGGACAAAGATGACTCGACGAAATGCAAGCGTACGTGTTGTATGCGCGCAGGGGGCACCACTGGCTGCGGTCGGTCGGTCGGGCGGTCGGTCGGTCGGTCGGGCGGGCGGTCGGTCGGTCGGTCGGGCGGTCGGGCGGTCGGGCGGTCGGTCGGCGATCGGTGGTTCGCGCGTCGGCTCGGACGGAATCGGCTCGGGGGCGGTCGACCCTCCGCTCGAGGACCGTCGGGCGTCGGGCGTTCGTCGTTCGCGACTCGTCGGGTCGTCGTCGTCGGTCCGAGTCGGACGCGGGTCGTCGGATCGGTGCCGGCCTCGGTCGGCCTCGGACCTCGGGGTCGGCGCGCTCGGCCGCGCTCTGCGCCGGCGCTTCCGGCCGGTGCGTCGGTCGCGCCGGTCGGCTCCGCTCGGATCGGTCGGTCCGGTCGGGCCGGGCGGGCGGCGTCGGTGCGGTCGATGCCGTCGTCGGTTCGGTCCGGTCGGTCGCGTCGGCTCGATCGGTCGGTCGGTCGTCGTCGGCGGGCGCGGCCGGTCGGCGCGGGCGGCGGTCAGTTCGTCGGACCCCGGGCGGCGGCCCAGCGGCGTCGGTCGGCGGTCGTCGGCTCCAGTCGGGCGTCGGTCGGCGCCGGCGTCGTCGTCGGCTCGGCTCGGAGATTCGGGGTCGGTCGTCGGCGCGGCTGGTCGTCGTCGGTCGTTGCCGTCGCTCGGCGGGCGTCGGGGTCAGTGCGCGGTCGTCGGGTCGGTCGGCGCGGAGCGTCCCCTGATGCGGCCGCTCACCGTCCGGTCGAGTCGGTCGGTCGGAGCTCGGTCGGTCGGCGGCGGTCGGTCGGTCCGGTCGACTCGGTTTCGGGGTCGGCGGCGGCGTCGGGCGGTCCGGTCGGGGCGGTCGTCGTCGGCGGTCCGGTCGTCGGCTCCGGTCGTCGGTCGTCGGTCGTCGGGCGTCGGCTCTGGTCGTCGTCGCGGTCGCGGCGGTCGTTCGTCGTATCGTCGGATCGTCGGCGGATCGGGCGGCGGTCGGGCGTCGGGATCCGGTTCGTCGTCGCGGCTTCGGTCGGAGTCGGTCCGGAGTCGTCGGCGGCCGGTCGGTCGGGCGGTCGTCGGGCTCGTCGGCTCAGGGCGGATCGGGTCGCGCTCGGCGTCGTGATAACGGTCGCTCGTGCCGTTCGTCCGTCGCAGCCCGACGATCGGGCGGCTCGGCGCGGCGGTCCGGTCGTCGGGCGTCGTCGGTCGGGCCCTCATCCTCGGGTCCCGTGCGTCGGTCTGCGGATGCGTGCGCGAGAGGGAGGCCAGTGATGCCGCGTCGCGTTTTTATCCCTGTCTGCAGGTGAATTATCTGCAAGTGCCATATTCGTAACTGTTTTGGTATCGAGGGAATCATGGTGCAGACATTTACAGGGGTTCGTGTTTCGCCATGTATAACAGGACGGCCCCTGGGCAACCACCTCTCTTTCTCACTACCGCCCTAATGACAACTACGCCCCTAGGACAACTACCGGCCCACAGACAACATACCCCCTAGACCAACTACCCCCTAGGACAACTCCCCGCCCCAGACAAACTACCTAGGACAACTACCCCCTATGGACACTACCCCCAGACAACTACCCCTAGGGCAACTACCCCAGACAAATACCCGCCTCTAGGACAACTACAGTCCGCCCAGCCAACTACGCACCTATATCTGTCACCCGATGCGGCTGAAGTAGAGCAAGTGACGAAGAGACGAGAGAGAGAAGTGGATCAAAGAGGAATAATAATAATAATAATAATAATATAATGATAAGAATAATAATCGATTTATGATCATTCACTTCTGATTACATTGTATCTAAACTGTACATGCAGAGATCGATATGTGCGCGGAGAACAACTACGGATGCGATCACAACTGCAAGAAGGAGGCGGACGATCAGGGCATGTATGTGTTCTGGTGCGAGTGTAAGAAGGAGCGATGGTCTGCGGGTACGGCGGCGGTTCAAAGTGGTAGCCGAGGATTTTCTGGGCGTTCCGAGGGAGAAGACGGGATTCGTGACGACGACACCTACCAGATTCAACAAATCCTGCGTCGGTAGGGAGCGTTTAAACTGCGATACTTTACTAGTGTCAGTGTGTGTGTGTTTTGCTGAAAGCGAGCCTTCATCCTAACCTCCTTCAGCTTCTCTCTCTCTCTCTCTCTCTCTCTCTCTCCCCGTTTTCAATGGGTTTTCTCGCCATCTCGCTGCCTCTCTCTCCCTCTCTCTGCTCTCTCTCATCTCTCTCTCTCTCTCTCTTTCTGCTCAATTCGTCTCTCTCTCTTCTCTACTCCGTTTTCAATGGGTTTCTCCAGCCATCTCGCTGCGCTCTCTCCTCTCTCCTCCTCTTTCCTCTCCATCTCTCTCTCTTTGCTCTCTCTCCCTACTCGTGATCTCTTTTCTCGTCCTCTCTCTCAGTCTCCTTTCTCAGAAGAGGCCAAGGAGGAAGTGAGGCCGAATGAGGAACGAAGGTCTTTCTCTCCATCTCACTGAACCTTCTCCTCCTCTCCTTTTGGACCCTGCGATCTCCCTCTCTCTCTCTCTTCTCATGTCGCTCGTCTTCTCTCTCAATCTCATCTTGTCGCTCCTCGCGTTCTCTCTCTGCGTTCAATGGGTTTTTCGGAGGGCCATCCCTCGCTGGCCTCTCTCCTCGTCCATCGGCTACTTCCAGTCCCCATCTCACTCCACACGTCATTTCGTTTGCTCTCTCTCACCTCCTCGCCTCTCTAAATATACAATACTACGTACTCCTATCAACAATCTCCTCCTCTTTCTCCGGAAAAAAATCTTCTACTCATCTCACACGTTCTCTCGTCCCCGCCTCCCCGTCTCTCTCTCTCGTCCTCTCTGTCTTCTCTGCTCTCTCTCGTTCTCTCTCTATCCTCTCTCACTCTCTCTGCCTCCGTTCTCTCTGTCCTCTCTAATTCTGCTCTCTCTCTCTCCCACTCTCTCCTTCCCTCTGTTTTTTCCTCTCTCCTATCTCTTGTTTTTCTTCCTATCTCTACCTCTCTCTCTCTTGCTCTCTTTCTCGCTCTCTCTCGCTCTCCCTCCCTTCTTCTCTCCCTCCTCCCATCCATCCCTCCCAACCTTCAACATTCTCTCCCTTCCTCCCTCCATCCCCATTTCCTTATCCCCCTCCCCCTCGTACTACTCACTACTACTAATTATATTACACTAATTATAATTACTACTAATTATAATTACACTAATTATAACCTCTAACTATCGTGATATATTATATATCTAACTAACCGGGATCGAGCGCCGATCCGACTGACACTTGTTTTTTTCCGGGCGCGATCACCAGCGACGCTGCTTGCGGACCCGGCGCGGGCGGGCGTCCGGGGCGGGGGCGCCGGACTAACGGCTACGTCACGGGAGAGCGCGCCGGTAGGCCGGCAGCTACCACTTTAACGACAAGGTCTTCTAGCGCACTGGCGACGACGGCTACAAGCTGGACGGAGCGACGAGCAAGACAAGAGTGTCACCGGAGGAGAGTGGGAGGCGCCGTCACGCGTGCCCATAATGCGCCTGTGAGTGCATGGGAAGGGGGAGCGGGAAGGAAGGGGGAGGGGGAAGGAAGGGAGGGGGAAGGAGGAAGGGGGGACACTGCTTCGTGCGTTTATCCTCAGGTTTCTAGCTTTTATACAATTGTTATTGTATTATGTTTGTTATTAATAGTATTAGCGAATTAGCTAATATTATTATTTGCGAAAGTGGATCACGGCATAGCGCGGGTGGCTTCTGGGTATTATTAAGTATTATTATTAATTATTATTAGTATATATTATTATTATTATTATTATATTATCGTGTTTTATCTAGAGAATTGTGGCTGAAATCGTGCAAAATGCTATGTGTGTGTGTGTGTGTGTGTGTGTGTGTGTGTGTGTATGTGGGGGTGTGTGTGTGTGTGTGTGTGTGTGTGTGTGTGTGTGTGTGGTGTGTGTGATGTGTGTGTGTGTGTGTGTGTGTGGTGTGTGTGTGTGCTGTGTGTGCCGCGCGTGCGTGCGTTGTGTGTGTGTGTTTGTCCGTAGCGTCGGGCGTGCATGCGAGCCTTAAGGCATGTGTGTGACTTTCAACGTGACCGTTCGCCTGACCTTCGGCAGCGGAAAACTGGCGCGGCTCCTCCGGACATCGATAACGGCAACTGGGAGGTGACTGGAGGGAGGAGGAAACTTCGCTACCAGAAGCGAGGGTCAACCATAACACGTGCGAGCGACGGGCTACAGCGCTGGATAGGGTGGCCGCCACCATGAAGTGCGTGAAGAATTGCAACTGCGGCGGCGAATACTACTAACGCGTGCAGGGAACCGTGCCGTCTTGTGTCAGTTTAAGCTGGTCCGGGAGGTGGGGAGGTGGGAGGGGGCGGAAGGAGGCTAGAGACGCTAGGGAGGGAGGGAGGGGAGGGAGGGAGGGAGGGAGGAGGGAAATACATACTACGCCGTGGCAGAACTGTGCCGACGTGTGTCAGTAGTGTCGGGAGGGGGGGGGTGGGGAGGAGGGGAGGGAGAGGAGGAGAGGTAAGGGAGGGAGGAACGAGGGAGGGAGGGAGGGGAATGCGTGGGAGGGAGGAGGAGAATACTACTACACAGTGGCGCCAGGCAGGGAACTGTGCGCGACTTGTGTCAGTAAGTGTCGGAGGTTGGGGCAGGTGGGAGGGAGGCGGCGGGAGGAGAGGCGAAGGACGAGGGAGGAGCGGAGAATTAAATACGCTCACGCGACTGGCAGCGGCAACCGTGGCCGACTTGCTGTCAGTAAGCTGTCGGAGGTTGGGAGGGAGGGAAGGCGGAGGGAGGGAGCTAGAGACGGTAGCGGAGGGACCGGAGGGAACGGGACGGGAGGCGAGGCGAGAATAGTACTACCGCGTCGGGCAGGGAACCTGTGGCCGACTTCTGCTGTCAGTAAGGTGTCGGAGGAAA